AGGCTCAAAGCAAAACCTCTTTTAGGCATACTTCCATCTGTTTTGGCTTGGGATGCTGCTGTTTACCTCTGTTTCAAGCCAGGAATCCACAAACGCTTCTCCCACTCCACCCCAATGCCAGGAATGGCAAAAGGTCTCCAAGGAATTAACAGGAAATGGGGCTTGAACACAGCAGCAAAACTGAAATAATCAGATCCGAGCTCTGCACCGACACTTACTGTGAACTTTAACTCACCCTGGACATTCCTAAGCGATTGCTATTTTGGTGCTGCAGTATTTTCACCCTTGCAAGAGGAAAACAAGCCAGCCCTCCACAGCGCTCTGCTTTTTATCTCTGCACTCAGCTCTTCCTCTCCCCGACCTCCTCCTGAGGCTGCATTCACAGCAACCGGCGTTGGACAACAACCCCGGACCACTGTACAGCCAACCAGATGACATCTGGGGCTCAAAAATGGAAAACAGTCCCCTGACAAAATGTGACAGGAACCAAATACAGACCTTGTCAATGAGTTTTCTTGTTGTTTCTTTGGGCACTTTTTGTGTTGAAATACGAAAGAATTGGGTGAGATGTAAAGATTGGGGGTTGGAACTGGATGATCTTTAAGGCAACTTTCAACTCAATCATCCTGTGGTTTTGTGATCATTAAGGTCCCCTCTAACCCAACCAGCTCATGGCTCTACGATCCTTAAAGACCCTTCCAGCCCAACCATTCCCTGGCTCTATGATCTTCAAGGACCCTTCCAACCCAACCACCCCATGGCTATGATCTTTAAGGACCCTTCCAACCTATTCCATGGCTCTATGATGTTTAAGGACCCTTCCAGCCCAACCATTCTATGGCTCTATGATCTTCAAGGACCCTCCCAACCCAACCACCCCATGGCTATGATCTTTAAGGACCCTTCCAACCTATTCCATGGCTCTATGATGTTTAAGGACCCTTCCAGCCCAACCATTCTATGGCTCTATGATCTTCAAGGACCCTTCCAACCCAACCACCCCATGGCTATGATCTTTAAGGACCCTTCCAACCTATTCCATGGCTCTACGATCTTTAAGGACCCTTCCAGCCCAACCATCCTACGGCTCTATGATCTTCGAGGTTCATTCCAACCCAACACATTCTATGTTCCTACAATTCCACATCTGAGCAATTATGCTAAGTCTATTACTAAACCTACAATTAAAAATGTAACATGGCCAGACCCATTAACTCCCTCGCTCCTGCTCAACAGCCAAACACAGCATAAATAATTCCCTGATTTTAAAGCTCACTTCCCTTTTTACAGCTTTGCAATTATTTCATCTCACCTTGACGGTTTTCAATTTTACTGGAGAGATGAGAGCCTGCTCTATCTTGCAATTAGCCACAGGAAATCATACAGCAGTTCCCTGAGAGCAAGATGCAGAGTATTACTTCCCCATTTGACAGGGAATTTCACACAGCTGCACTCCTATTTCCCCAGCAGCAAACACCCAGCACCGTCCTATAAGGAAAGGCGTGAAGCCAGCTCAGTGCAGGGCGCTGCACAGCTCATCTCTCTGCTTAGGAGATGGACCTGATGATCCTTATGAGTCCTTTCCAACTTGGGACGTGCCACGGTTCTTAGGTGTGGTCTGGAGGACAAGGTGGCACCAGATACACATGAAGAGGCCACAAGATAATCTTAAATACCATCAGCTGATACATTTATGACCTGCCTAGGAAAGGCAAAGAACGGAAGAAATCCCCCCCCCCAAAATGCTGTTTCATTCCCCAGTAAGAAAGTTTAGCATAAGAAATGGGCCCTCTGAACACCTCTGCATACAGAAGCAGTCGCACAGTTCTCAGGCACATCTGTACCCATTGGAGCACTGAGTGCCTTCCCAACACAACCCAACCCAACTCAAGCGTCCTTTCGGCTTGCAATCTGTTCTGGAAACCATTAATTCAAGTAGTCCACAGGAATGGAAGCAAGAAACGAGACCAAGAAGTGGAAGGCAGCAATCTGAGCATCCAAATCACATCCTCCAACATCATATTCCTCCCCACACACCCCCAGCCCCCAACTTTTTTGTAAGCGGAAGACCTGCAGCCTTCTCAGGGCCTCTTCACCCCCTCAGTCATTCTCCTGCACCTTCCTAGAAGGGTCTCCAGGTAGCTCATTAACCAAAGGGCAATGTGCACCAGGCAATTCCCAGAACGCAGAGCAGGCAAGGTCACAGAACGATTTAGGTTGGACAGGACCTTTGGAGCTCATCAGGTCCAAACCAGTCACACCAGAAGAGTCTGAAAACTTCACCCACCCAAAAAAGTTGAGTCCTCCCCAAACGCTGTGAGAGCACCTTCCACCGGTTTCCCCATTGATGAGCAACACAGGTGGGGACAACGTGGCTTCACAAGCAACACGTTCAGCTTCAAAGCAGCCCTACAGCTTTCACAGGTGACCCTCCAGGTGAGCGGGGCTGGTCTGTGGGAGGGAACAAACCTCTGTAACGCAGCACCCTCTCAAAACAGGCAGAAAACAACCAAATTTGGAAAAAAAAAAATTAAGAAATGGAACAGGTTTCGAAAATCCAAAAGCTGGAACAAACTCCTTGAGTGGCACTGTGTTAATTCAAGGCTAGACTTGGTACATACCAAACATTTGAGACGAATCCTGGCATTTAGGGCTCTCAGGAATCCAACCCGCGTCGCGTTTTCCCCAAGCCAGCAAGGATAAATGAAGTTAGAGCTAGCTGGCCCTCCTGCTAGCCCCTGCCATGCACTTCGGAGAGATCTGGGGTATTTATTCCCTCTTCCTGGTCCAACACAGCCTCCACCACCACCCCTGCTCTCATGGGACATTCACTGCAGCAAATAGGCTCCTTATCCAGAGCTGCAGCCTCCACCGCCCGCCTCCCTCATTTCGGAGTGATACCAATCTGATTTCAGGCACAGGAAATGAAAAGGGCCATTGTCGAGGTCGCTGGAAACATCTGGCTGAGCACCCATCCCACAACGGCCCTCTTGTTCCCTCGTGGAACCATTCTGCTGGGGTGAGGCAATGCCTCGGGGGCTCACAAATTGCTGTTTCCGCGCCCTCCGGCTCTGCTGCCTTCGTGCCTCTCCTCCAGGAGATTTCAAAGCTTTCATTTTGCTCGAGATGCATTGTAAATGCTCAATCAAGCGAGATCGCAGCTCACATTCGAGCTGCAAATTTCAGCCTTCCTTCAGTGCCTCCCAGAGCGTCAAAAGGCTCTCATGGAGCACGGCTGCCTCTGTCAAAGACCCCTATTTGCTTCTGATCTCTACTCAGCCTTCTGCGTCTAACAGCTGGAACACAAGGAACCAAACCTCCCAGGAGTGCCTTCCATCTCCTCCTTTCCCACCCACTTCAGTTCAAACAAGGAATACTGGAGCCCAAACCCAACTGCGTTGCTCTCACAGCCTACTCATCCTTCCATCACCAGCCCTGCAAGACACCCAGGGCCATTTGGTGCTGCACCATCCCTTCAGCCCAACGCTGCCAGACGAGAAAGACAGAAGGAAAAGCCACTCGCATGCCAACCACCGAGCAAAGAGGAGAATTTTCACACTGAGTTGGCTGTAGGTGCACGCAGAGCTGTGCCAGCTCAGGTCAGAGTCCCCATTGTCAGCTTCACGTGTTCTGCTTGCACAAGAGGAGCAACTAAGATAATTATTTCAGTTTAAGGTGCCTTTTAGAACAGGTGAACTGACAGTATTACAGCTTGTAACTCCTTTTCCCTGAGGTCTCAATAACTTTATTCCACTGAGTACTGTGCACGGTGCAATAAAAATAATAACAATTCTCATCCCCACCGATGTTGGCGACCACAAAGGAAGCCTGCAACCTGCAGAGCTTCCCCCCAGCACACAGGGTCACGGAACCACGACAGCTTGCGGATGACAAATCCTTTTCTCGTGTGCCCGCCTGGCTCCTCGCAGAACTGTGATGCCAGAGACAAGAGCTGAGCTAACACTGCACATGGGGAAGCGCGCTCGTATTTTTAGCACGCACCCGAGGACGTCAACACTTCAGCTCACCCAACTGGAGGCGCAGCTCAGAGACGTGGCTCTGCAGCAGCTCAGCATGGCCACGGGTGGGTTGGGAGAGCATTCCTGCAGGAGCCACAGATTCACAGCATTACTCACAAAGGACAGAGCCCCAGCTGATTCACGCTCATCGTTTCAGCTCAAGTCTCCTTCCTTCCTTCGCGTGCCTGGGACAATGTGTTCGCCACCGTCTCATTGCTCAGCTCCTCCTGCAACGCTCGCCATGGAACTTGTCCTTCTGTCCAAGATGTGTTGGACTGTTTTTATTATTATTATGGAGATATAAACTCCTCTAAGTGAGACTGAAACTCTGAAAAAATGAGATGCTCCTACGCTTACGCAGAATTGAAGTTGCACTGTAAGAGCAGACTCATATTCCTGATGCCTCCAAAGCAACTGTTCTCAACTTTATTTTGTCGAGGCTGGGCTCCCACTGAAGCTCAGCACTGAAGAGCTGGGTACTGGTCCTCCCATTGAGCCACCCATCTTGGTTCTGGCCCTCACAACATCATTTTTGTTGTCCAGCAGTGGTTAAGCTGAGGGACGTACGTCACAGGGATGAAAGGCAGCACCATAAAGGCGATATTCATCCCCAAAGGTTGGCCAGGGCAGCAAACCCACTCGTGCTGTTTGTGCCGAGAAAGCGTAGGAGAGCAGTTGAAATGTTAAAGTTTGCATTCATGAATTTCACGTCCCAGAAAAAACAAAATCCCTAAGATGTATTAATGCAGAAGTCAACAGAAGCTGATGGAACCAGACTGCACCGGGCCTTTTCCTCGTCTCCCCCCCTGGGAGGGATGGGCTGTGAGCGAACTCTTAGTCAGGAGGAGACAGAAGTGCTTCACAAAGCGGCGTTGCAAAAGCCCTGTTACAAAACCTCCTGAAAAAGGGAGGGGAGAAGGGATCAGTCCAGCGGGAGGGACGCTGCGGCTCCACCGACTGAGAGGAGAGATTATTGTAAACCTTGCTTAATTAGGGCATTAGCCTGCTAATTCTATTTAATAAAAATAGATGATAGATTTGGCTCTGCACCTGACAAAGAGGGCACAAAGAGGGTTCTTTCCATCGGTGTAGGATCAAAAGGATCCTTTCCAAACAGGGATATTCCATGATTCTATGATTCAGAAGAGACTTTGCTCCATTCTAAGACCCATTTCCCATGGGTCAGTAAACGGGGGGAAGGAAGAGGACTGCTCCCATATACCACCACCACCTTCCTGCCCTGTTCCCAGCAGGATGAACCTGAACCAGCCCTGTAGGTCCTCACCCTGCCAGACCCCTGCAACTTGTGACACCGCAGCAAATGAACGCGACGGATGATTACAGATTGCTGAAGGGCAATTTTAATTATCTCCAGTAATGTATTGGCATTGCATTAGGAGAGCTGAACAACCTCCCTTCCATCCAGGTTCCACCGCTACCGATACAAGAAAGGCTCAGACCACTGAGACCACTCACCCCAGGCTTACAAACAGACACTTGTTTGTCCAAGCCAAGAAATCATTCCTTTCCCCATTAGCTAGAAAGCATGCTGCCCTCAGCAGGGGCCAGAGTATATTAAGCATAGCTCACGTGCCAGGATGAGGACATTTGCTAGAAACAGTTGAATATCATCAAGATCTCGGATGTCTAATGGGGTTCCTTCACTTTGCTGGGCACACTGGGGTCATGGGTGAGCTTGGTTGTGGGGACTTACAAAGATTGCTCAAGAAACAGAGCTGAGAACCAGTGGAAGACTTAAGTACATGCTCTCAATGGCATGAACTCTCTTTTCATTTCATTTTCAGTGTTACACAAGAGGTTGTTCTGAATGGCAGATGAATTCCTACGGTCCCTGCCTACAGGTAGAAAACCAACATTGCCCAACTTCACAGTCAGACCGGGTCACCTTTCCAAGAAGCTACGCACATGTGAAGTAAGATATTATTATGTGCAGTTTGAGATGTATTCAGTCTCCATGTAATAGTAGGAAAGCCAGTGAAACAACATCACTTTTGGAAGTAATTAATCCCAAAGGATGCAGCCAACAAAACACCACCCAGCCCATGGGTTTTGCTCTTCCACCTCAGAATCATAAAATCATCAAGGTTGAAAAAGACCTCCAAGATCAAGTCCAACTGCCAACCCCACCACGGCCACTCGCAGAATCACGAGGGTTGGAAAAGACCTCCGAGACCCCCAGAGTCCAACCCCAACCCATCCCATCCCTCTACCCACGTCCCCAAGTGCCACATCTCCACATTTCCTTTGCACTTTCAGGGATGCTGACTCCACTGGGCAGCTTGTGCCAATGCCTGACCACGCTTTCAGAGAAGAGATTTTTCCAACCTGCAACAGGCTAGAAGGAAGGAAGGGCAAACAGCGTGCCAAATGACCACATTCACTTCAAGCACTTGAAAACTTGCACTGTGAAGACAACTCCTTCCACGCCAAAGCAGCAGGCAGCTTCCTAAAGCTGGTTGCAACCCAAGGAGACAGGATGCTGGGGCTGTGCCAAGCCCAAACAAACAAGATTGCAGGGGGTTGCTTAGAAACCTCTGAAAAAGACACCGAAAATGCAGATTTTGGTGAAGAGCACCGCAGTGTAGCTTGATTCGCAGGTCACCTTTGAGCCTGAGCACTCCGAGATTCTCACAGGTTGAGCCAGCATGGCTTTCCAGATGCCCCCAAATCCCTCAGCATTTCAATAACAGACAGTGACACACGGGAGGAAGGCGCTGAGAAGAAAAAGAACGGAGTTACTGTAACGCGCGCAGCCCTGGCAGCTAATCAAGGAGACAGATGAAGGCAGCAATCTGTCTCCTTAAGATATGCATTTAATTTTTTATTTCTTATTGCTGCATAACTGTGCTGGAAGATGCTCGTGAAATGGCTGCGGCGCGAAGGGGCTGCGCCGGGAGAGTCCCTCTGCAATCACGAGGGAGGCAATGAGGAAAGTCATCGTTAGCAGCGCTTAATTGCCAGTAGCCAGCACGCTCCTTTGCGTTCATTATTAACTTTCTAACGTACCTGTGCACCAGGATCACCAAGCAGGCTTTGCTCCAAGCTCTGCTGCAGCTGCCATTGAGGGATGTCACCTCCCCACGCGTGGCCCCCAGCGACGCCCAAGGTTACCTCCTGCATTATGTCAGAATGATTGGGCTTAGGTAAAAAGATGGAGAGTGACTCTTTATGCGCTCTGACAGTAGTAGGACACGGGGAATGGTTTTAAGCTAAAAGAGGGGAAATTTAGGTCAGGTGTTCGGAGGAAATTCTTAACCATGAGTGCGGTGAGGCACTGGAATAGGCTGCCTGGAGAAGCTGTGTGTGCTCCATCCCTGGAGGTGCTCAACACCGGACTGGATGGGGTTTGGGCACTTTGGAAAATGGGAGCTGCTCCTTCCCACGGGGTTGGAATTGGAGGTTCAACCCAAACATTCCACAGTTCTGCAGTCTTTAAGGTCTCCTCCAACCTAGCACATGCCATGATTCCATAATTGTTAAGGTCCTTCCAACCCAACCATCCCATGATTCCATAATCGTTAAGGTCCTTCCAACCCGACCATTCCATGATCTTTAAGGTCCTTCCAACACAACCATTCCATGACTCCACGATCTTTAAGGTCCCTCCTAACCCAACCTTTCCACAGTTTCATGATCATTAAGGTCCTTCCAGTTCAAACATTCCACAATTCCATAATCTTTAGGGTCTTTCCAACTCAACCATCCCACGAGTCCATGATCTTTAAGGTATTTCCAACCCAACCATTCCACGATCCCATAATCTTTAAGGTCCCTCCTAACCCAACCATTCCAGTTTCATGATCATTAAGGTCCTTCCAGTTCAAACATTCCACAATTCCATAATCTTTAAGGTCCTTCCAACCCAACCATTCCATGATCCTATGATCTTTAAGGTCCCTCCCAACCCAACCTTTCCACAGTTTCATGATCATTAAGGTCCTCCCAGTTCAAACATTCCACAATTCCATGATCTTTAAGGTCTTTCCAACCCAACCATTCCATGACTCCATGATCTTTAAGGTCCCTCCTAACCCAACCTTTCCACAGTTTCATGATCATTAAGGTCCTTCCAGTTCAAACATTCCACAATTCCATAATTTTTAAGGTCCTTCCAACCCAACCATTCCATGACTCCACGATCTTTAAGGTCCCTCCTAACCCAACCTTTCCACAGTTTCATGATCATTAAGGTCCTTCCAGTTCAAACATTCCACAATTCCATAATCTTTAGGGTCTTTCCAACTCAACCATCCCACGAGTCCATGATCTTTAAGGTATTTCCAACCCAACCATTCCACGATCCCATAATCTTTAAGGTCCCTCCTAACCCAACCATTCCAGTTTCATGATCATTAAGGTCCTTCCAGTTCAAACATTCCACAATTCCATAATCTTTAAGGTCCTTCCAACCCAACCATTCCATGATCCTATGATCTTTAAGGTCCCTCCCAACCCAACCTTTCCACAGTTTCATGATCATTAAGGTCCTCCCAGTTCAAACATTCCACAATTCCATGATCTTTAAGGTCTTTCCAACCCAACCATTCCATGACTCCATGATCTTTAAGGTCCCTCCTAACCCAACCTTTCCACAGTTTCATGATCATTAAGGTCCTTCCAGTTCAAACATTCCACAATTCCATAATTTTTAAGGTCCTTCCAACCCAACCATTCCATGACTCCACGATCTTTAAGGTCCCTCCTAACCCAACCTTTCCACAGTTTCATGATCATTAAGGTCCTTCCAGTTCAAACATTCCACAATTCCATAATCTTTAGGGTCTTTCCAACTCAACCATCCCACGAGTCCATGATCTTTAAGGTATTTCCAACCCAACCATTCCACGATCCCATAATCTTTAAGGTCCCTCCTAACCCAACCATTCCACAGTTTCATGATCATTAAGGTCCTTCCAGTTCAAACATTCCACAATTCCATAATCTTTAAGGTCTTTCCAGCCCAACCATTCCATGATCCCATGATCTTTAAGGTCCCTCCCAACCCAACCTTTCCACAGTTTCATGACCATTAAGGTCCTTCCAGTTCAAACATTCCACAATTCCATAATCTTTAAGGTCTTTCCAGCCCAACCATTCCATGATCCCATAATCTTTAAGGTCCCTCCCAACACAACCATTCCACGGTTTCGTGATTCTACGATTCCTCTCCTCCCTGCTTCCAGTTGCACAGGAGACTCCCAAAAAATGACACAGGGATCATCAGTGGGACAAAACAACTCCGTCCACCAACATACCAAACTGATCATTCATCTCAAACGCAGTGCAAGAACCTGGTTCAAGTTCTTCCAATCTCCAGATCTCCAAGCAGCTCCACACCAACCACTGTTTGCTTCCTACCACATCAAACCACCTCCTCCTACCCCATCCTGCTTAATTCAGTTCCCAGACCGTTGGCTACCACTCCATTCCATCTCATTGCATGGAGCCATGCCTTCCCCATAATAAAACCTTACATCCCACCATTACAGGGAGCTGAGTTACACAAGCCTGCTCCAACCTGTTCCTCAAAACACCCCTCTGAGGGCAAATTCCTCCCGGGAGGGATGCAAGCAGTGTTTTGCCCTGAGATAAATGCAGTGGAGCCTAAGGACAGGGGTTGTCTGCAATTGTCTACCAAATACTCAGCAACAACCTCTGAATACAGGTCAACATAATGAGGATGTGGATGCAACAGCAGAGAAAAACAAGGAAAAGTTCAGGTTTAAGAGATTTGGAAGCCATCAGGATGTACAACAACAGGGACCCCCAAAACTTCACCACTGAAGGCTCCGCACCGCGCTGATGTTACATCTCCAGGATTCCACCAGGATTTTATCACATTTAACACAACCTAGGACTGTCTTGCTGAGGATCCAGTGAAGATCTGAGGATGTTCTTTTCACATTTTCTCTCTGTTTTTCCAACCCCCACACCCAGGACCTTCCCTTTAACTCACATCAGTCAAACAGCTCGCCCTAAAACTGGCAGAAATTAACAGTTTTTCCCCGGGATCAGCAGCCAGCAGTGATCTCTCACCTGAAAGACACAACAGGGCACCAGCAGCACGAAGAAGATGGAAAGAAGCTCGTGTTTGCCCCATATTAAAGGCTCCACGAGGTTCTGAAGCACGAAAACATCTTTTTCCCTACAGGATACGGTGGGAACAGAAGCAGAGAGAACAACGGGGGTGGGAGGAAGAAGAGGAAAAAAAAAAACCAACCAGCAAAATGCGTGCACATAGCAGGAGCTCAGCACTGGAAAAAAAAAAAAAAAAAAAAAAACCCTAAAAAAAACCTAAAAAAAAAAAACCAAAACCAAAAAACCCCTCCCCCACCCCCCAAAAAACCCCAAAACCCCCAAAAAAAAAACAAACAGAGAAGAGGAGGAAAAGCAACTTGGGCACAAGGCTAGAAGCCGTCCAAGAGCATCTGGAAGAGCTGCTGAAAAGCAGCCACGAGGGATTTTCTTTTATTTCTGTGGGTTGGTTGGTCGGTTTGCTGTCTGGTTTTGCTTCTTTTATTATTGTTTTTTTGTTGCTTTTTTTTTTGTTTGTTTGTTTGATTCTACCAGTGCCCTGAGCCTCTCTCCTCCCAGGGAAGGAGGCAGCTGAGCGGCTGTTACTTGAGCTGAGGAAGAAGAAGACAAAGGTGCTAAGAAGCAAGAGAGCAGAGAGCAGAAACAAAACAGAAGTGAGAAACAGAGGCACAAAGAGGCGATGGGAGCTTTGCTGCAAGCACGAGTTGAAAGAAATGCTGTGTTTTCAACCCACCCAAGGGCAAGACGAGGAGAGAAGGAAACGCAGCAGAGCACAGCCTTTGGGGAGATGCAGCCCAACAATGGGAACGAGTGAAGAAAACTCCATCACTGGTGGGATTCCTAATGGCTGAGTAGGGAAATAAAGGTGCCCATGAGTGTAGAAGGTGGTTTGTTTGCTAGGGGGCTGCTGATGTTCAAGAGGAAAGTCCACAGCACCACAGGCAGCAAGCCAGTGTCAATGGTGGACCTGGTGGGATGTGATGGAGGGAGAAAACCACGTGCAGAACTTCCAAGCAAAGAGGACACCGAAGGAGAACGCTTGGCATTAGCAATCTGCCAGGCTCTTCGCACCAAAGGAGGATGTGGACTTGATTTGAAGAACCTTTTGGAAGCTGCCACAGAATCATAGGAAGGCGTGACTGGAAGACCCACCCAGTCCTAACCCCATGGGCAGAAGTAACCCCCATTGATAGTGCTCACAGTCCCATCCAACCAGGCCTGGAGCAACTCCAGGGATGCAGCAAGCACAGCTCCGTGCCAGGGCCCCACCATCCTCAGTGTGACAAATTCCTTTCTTACATTTAACCCAAGTTTCCCCTCTTTTTAGTTTACAGCCATTCCCCATGTGCAGTTATTACTGCACCCCTCTCTGCCAAGCCTTGGGTTGTAGCATGAAGGCATCCCAACAAACACATCCAGTTCACATCCACAGGAACACGATGGCCAGGATCCAGAATTAAGTCACACACAAGGTGACAGCTCACCATGAAAAATGGCAAAGCTCAGGTTAATAAGAGACCGCATGGACAGAAGGAAAGGGAATTCTAACCTGCAAACACAGCTCTGGTTCCAGCAAGGCAGCCTTACACCACTTAATAACAGGTGCCCCGGAAGAGGCTGCAAAGCTGTTGCTGTGATTAATCGCTATTTTTTCGGTGCCAGAGCAGGTAATGATTGCTGTGCTGGCAAGTAGGGAAGCCAAGTCAAGAGGAGGTATGGGGGGAGGAGGACTTGGAGCCAGCAGAGAGGAGGAACTGACTCAAAGCCTTGGGATTTGTGGTTAGCTAGAGACAGCCAGGAGGGTGCTGTGGGGCAGCCAACAGTCGGCATACCTGCAGCACCAGTCCAGCCAGGAGCTGCATTTTGTAAGAGGAATATTTAAATAGATTGAGTCTGGAGGACTCAAAGCAGATTTTTAAGCTAGGCTACAACACCATTTTAATCTTATCAGAGCAATGAAGTTGGTCCAATGGATGGGAAATGGAAGCTAGCACCACCAGTGTGAAGTTGGCTCTTTGGAGGAGAGTGGGTTGATCCAGAGGATGGAGTGCCTCCAGTCTCATAAAGATCCATTACCAAATCACACAGACATTAAATATTTTAGATATTACCTAAAAGACTTCAAATTTTAAAGATTTTCAGCGCTCCGGGCAGCTGTGAGCTCCTCCATAGCAAAACCAATGACCAGGTTGCTGCTCTGCACCCCGTTTCCTCTGCCTCCACTCCATTTTAGAAGTCCCTCCCTGCAGCCAACAGGTTGACACTGCAGTGGAGTAATTCCTGCCCCAATTTCTCAGGCATTCTCAAATGCTGTTGCCCTGAAACAAAGGCTGGAAGATGCAGACAGCCAAGCTCCACTGCTCCGGAGAACAGAGCTGGGGAGAAGCAGTCACGCGGACTACAAAACCTGGGAAATTAGCATGACAAGAATGATTCACTTTCCACACTGTCATTCTGGAATGAAAGTATAGAAAATTGTTACCTGCTACAGCAATTTTGGTAGAGCACGGCCAACGATGGCTGGCAATTAGGCTCCATTTTTGCTACCTAGGACTGACAAGTGACCCACGTCTCCACTCCCACGTTATGTGCAGGGAGAAAGAACAAGCCGCTACCAAACCCTGCTGCCTTCCCATTCAGACCTTCCCTGCTCTTTGTAAGAGTCCTCAGCAATTCCCAGCAGCATCCCCTTCCCGTAATAAGCAGCAGAACAAAGAGCCAGGAAGGTTTGATTATAGAGAGATGCTTGACGTGAGCAAATCAGACTTCTGTCCCCGTGGGAGAGAGAGATTTTCTCTTCTACCCATGTCCTCCCTGCAACACTGGGAAAAATGGGGCAGAGGAAACGAAGGGATTTTCTATTACAAAGCTGAGGCAGTGCCCTGAACCCAAGCAAGGCAGCTCGATAAGGCACAGTCTGCACACTGCAGAGCTGCAATTTGCTCACTAATCGGAGCCCCGGAGCCAAAGCATCGTGCAGGAAAGTTACCCAAATCAGCACCAAGACACCACTTAGAGGCATCTGATGGAAAGCTCGTTGCTTTGCAGGATATGGGAGCGGATCGGGACGCTGTCTGGAGCTGGAGGGAGCACAGCTGTGAAGGAATGAATGAGGCGCTGCCTTCAGAACTTGCTTGGCCTGTCTCAGCGCTTGCAACTCGATACCCGAGCGCTCTGTGCACGCGGCAGAAAGAGGAAACATCCACCAGCAGAAGAACAGGATTTGCACAGTCTGAACCTGGGACTTATCACAGAGAAAGGCGAGCTTATAGAAACGCACACCGAGAAACCTGCAGTCAGCTCGCGATGGCCACGCCGAGGCTTTGGTTCTGACATCCTGGTGAGGAAGCTGATCTAACGCGGAGGCAATCAAAGAACGAGCTGCTCAGCAAAACAATAAAATAAAAAATCAGCGCCGTCAGCCAACAATCAAAGGGAAAGCGAATAACTCTGTAGATCTGAAGGGCTCCTCTGGAAAAAATCCAGCAAAACCCCTTTGAAGTCATGATACAGTCGCAAAGCCCCAGCGCTGCGCTGTTTGTATTCCGGCCTCGTTCCACCTGCAGATGAGGTCCTCCGCCCCTTCACTGACTTATTTTAAGACACCTGGATAGAGCAGATCACTGCAAACAGGACTAAGAGTTAAACCGAGCGCTCGGTTTGCAGTAAATCTCGTTATCTGCCCTCCGCCGAGCAGCAGCCACGGCCTGATCACGCTAAGCACAACTTGTTCTCAGTGCCAGCAGCAGGAGATGAACATCTGCAGAAGGGAGAGAGCTCGGCTGTAGGGTTACGTGCCCAAAGAACCTCAATCTGGTGAGGAGCCAGGAACAGAAGCAGCAAAATCTCGAGGGAGAGCTGGGCTTCAGCGCTGTCCAAAATCAATGCGGATTGATGAGGAGTCATTTTGGCTTTGGAGATGCTGCACATCGAATGATGAGACTTCCCTTTTGGGAAAACGTGGCTGTTGACACAATCAAGTTGGAGGGGACCCAACGAGGCTCATGGAGTCCAACTCCTGGTCACACACAGGACCGCTAAAACCCAAACCCTGGGAGCAGTGTCTGAACACTCCTTGAGCTCGGGGCTGTGCCCACTGCCCTGGGGAGTTTGATCCATGCCCACTGCTTAACACCACAGATGTGCCCAGAAAGAAGAAACCAGCATTTCATCTGAAAACCCATTAAAGTTGGAAAAGATCTCCCAAGATCACCAAATCCAACCCCAACCCAGCCCACCATGCCCACTAACCACACCTGCACAGTTCCTGAACACCTCCACGGATGGTGACTCCACCACCTCCCTTGCAGCCCGTGCCAATGCCTCACCGTTCTTTTGGAGATTTTTTTTTTTCCTAATATCCAACCTAAACATCCCCGGCACAACTTGAGGCCATTACCTTTTGCCCTAGCACAAATCCTCAGCGCCATCACATGTGAGATCACAAGCCCAATATGAAATTGGCACAACACTTGTGCCAAACAGCGTGGAAAGCACAGAATCAAAGAAGGGACCTTGAAGATGTTCCAGTTCCAGCCCCACTGCCGCAGGCTGATTGCCAACAATTATTCAAATACAGTCCAGTGATTCTAGGAAATTGGAGAAGCAGCTCAGGCCGGACGGCGCATCGAAAAGCCCAAAGGCAAATCCCAGCAGAGCAATCGCAGCTTGACGGACGGACTCGGTGATCTGCGGGGTCTTGGCCAACCTTAATGGTTCCACCTCCAACCTCGAGAAACGACTGCTGCAGCCGGCTGAGGCAACAAACATCAAGCAAGGAGCACAAATCACCACAAACACTGAACACAAGTCAAGCGTGCCATCGAGACAGCCCCAAGCAACACCTCCACCACAGGCAGTATCGGCCATGGCTGTGCCCAATGCACTCACTCAGCCCCATCAGCCTCCCCAGACACGAACTGCTGGCAGCTGGAAGGAGCCTGCTGTCACTCTGAGAGGCAATGACTAAAACTCGCTTGCTCCCCTATAAACCAGGCTGGGCTCCCAAGCGGGGCACAGGTAGGGCACCGCTCAGCTACAGCCCAAAGCAGAGGCCCAGAAGAGACCCTGGCTCTTCCCCATTCGTCTACCTGCACTCACAACGTGAAAAATTAAGTCTTACAGTGACTTGAAGTAGAAATAAAATTCACACGTTGTTAGCAGCCAAAG